AGGAGACTCGCTTGAACCCAGGAGTTGGAGGTTGCTGTGAGCTGTGATGCCATGGCACTCTACCCAGGGGGATAGCTTGAGGCTCCGTCTCAAAGAAAAAAAAAAAACAAAAAAAAAAAAACAAGAGGTGTTCCTAAACTGAACAGTTAGGTCTGCCTCTTCTACAGGTGATTATTCACTTATTAAGAACATTCCTCACTGAACAATAAACTACATTATACTACTTTTACCTCAATATTAGAAAAACATTGGCAGTACCTGTAGCTCAGTGGGTAGGACGCCAGCCACAAACACTGGAACTGGTGGGTTCAAATCCAGCCCAGGCCCGCCAAACAACAATGACAACTAAACCAAAAAATGACTGGGCATTATGGCAGGCACTTGTAGTCTTGACTACTTGGGAGTCTGAGACAAGAGAATTGCTTAAGCCCAAGAGTTTAAGGTTTCTGTGAGCTGTGACATTATGGCACTCTACCAAGGGCAACATGGTGAGACTGTCTCAAAAAAAAAAAAAAGTCCCCTTTCTGTAAATAAGCAGATAATCCTCATATGGTCAAAAGAAACAAATAATTTACCTGGGGGCAGATATCCCTGTAGTAAACCTCTGGTGACAGAGACTGTTGGGGACAAGAAGCCAAAATCTTTGCAATCTGGTCGCACTTCTTCCAGTCAGCAGCTGTCGCCTCAGCATCACACCCACCAGCTGCCCCAGCTTGCAGAATGGAGAGAGATTTGAAAATTCATGACAGTTCCCCACGTAAGGTCCCATCTGATAAATTTACCAAAAAACTTAGGGTAAAAAGAATTTCTTTTCTCTATTGAGAATAGTTTATTTTAGGCCAGGCATGGTGGTTCACGGCTGTAATCCTAGTCCTCTGACTCTGAGGTGGCTGGATTGCTTGAGCTCAGGAGTTCAAGACTAGCTCAGAGCAAGAGTGAGATGCCATCTCTAAAAATAGCCAGGTGCTGTGGTGGGCACCTGTAGTCCCAGCTACTTGGGAGGCTGAGACAAGAGGATTGCTCAAACCCAAGAGTTTGAGGTTGCTGTTATGACACCATGGCACTCTACCCAGGGCGATAGAGTGAGACTCTGTCTCAAACAAAAACGAAAAATAGAAAATAGTTTATTTTTTCTATAATATAATCTATCCCCTCAAATTGTTTTTTTTTTTTTTTAAGAGACAGTCTCACTTTGTTGCCCTCAGTTGAGTACTGTGGCATCACAGCTCACAGCAACCTCTAGCTCTTGGGCTTAGGTGATTCTCTTGCCTCAGCCTCCTGAGTAGCTGGGACTACAGGTACCCACCACAATGCCTGGCATTTTCTTGT